TTAGGGTAACGGAACATACAGTCAGAACCCAACGGAACCCTTAGGGTAACGGAACATACAGTCAGAACCCAACGGAACCCTTAGGGTAACGGAACATACAGTCAGAACCCAACAGAACCCTTAGGGTAACGGAACATACAGTCAGAACCCAACGGAACCCTTAGGGTAACAGAACATACAGTCAGAACCCAACAGAACCCTTAGGGTAACGGAACATACAGTCAGAACCTAAAAGAACCCTTAGGGTAACGGAACATGCAGTCAGAACCCAATGGAACCCTTAGGGTAACGGAACATGCAGTCAGAACCCAACAGAACCCTTAGGATAACGGAACATACAGTCAGAACCCAACGGAACCCTTAGGGTAACGGAACATGCAGTCAGAACCCAACAGAACAATTAGGGTAACGGAACATACAGTCAGAACCCAACGGAACCCTAAGGGTAACGGAACATACAGTCAGAACTCAACAGAACCCTAAGGGTAACGGAACATACAGTCAGAACCCAACAGAACCGTAAGGGTAACGGAACATACAGTTAGAACCCAACAGAAGCCCAGTCCAAACTGATCAGAAGATCAGAATTTGGACCGTCTGACTGAGCTTGGTAGAACCTCTGAAACAGATCTAAACAGAACCTTTTAGATCCAGAGCCTAAACAGGAGTAGCCTCAGGACCATTTGAACTGAGTCAAAGTAAGTGGTACAGTACTGGTCTGAAATGGGGTCAGAACTGAGAGGAACCCAGTTTAGAACCAAACCTTTGTTGTTGACATCAGAGACCATCAGAACCCGAACAGAACTGGTCCAAACCTCTGACTCTGGTTTGTTCTTAACGCTCAGATCCACATCCAGAAAGCCTGTGGTTCTGATCAGCGTTGCCATAGTAACCTTCAGATGTCGGCCCGGTTCATGGATGAGAACCAGAATCCGTTCAGGAGGTGAGTGACAACTGCTCTAAAGACAGATTATTGATCAGATTACAGATTATAATTGATCGGATTATTACTAATTATCAATTAGATTATATTGATGGATTATTATGGATTATAGATCAGATTATTATTGATTACCAATTAGATAGAGAACTTTACTAACTGGCTTTTCTATGTATGTGAATTTCATGTAAAGTTCCCCGAGACAACTTTGTTGTGATTTGACGCTATATAAAAAAAATGAATTGAATTATTATTGATAGATTATTATTCATTATTGATCAGATTACAGATTATTATTGATTATTGATCAGAGAAACCACCTACGAGGGAGCACATGCCAGTGTATCTATGGTTCTGTTCCCAAGCCCGGGTAAATGGTGAGGGTTGTGTCAGGAAGGACATCTGATGTAAAACACTTTTGCCAAAACTATAATGAGAGTTCATTCAACCTTTATTTCTACAGGTTAATCCCATTGAGCCTCAGGGACTCATTTACAAGAGAGACCTGATTTTAAAAAAGAGTGATGACAACAGTGGATAACAACAATAGACAATCATAAAAGAGGCATACAGATTTATTTTTTTTACATGTTAAAATAAAATGGCAATCAAAAGGAAAAAGTAGCGCAAAAAACAGCTAGATTATAAGGTGGTGTAGAAAACTAAAAACAGGAATGTGTGTGTGTGTGTGTTCAGGCTGAGCGGCGACCCGGTGTTGGATTACACCAGCAGCATCCGGTGGTTCCTTCTGGAGGTGAACGTCACCAACTGTCCGTCAGCGGATCGTCTGGCTGAAGACGCTCACAGCGCCGTGCTGAACCTCAGCATCCCGCCAGAGCTCACCTACTCCGGGGTCGCACCAAAGGCAACATAGACGTTTAGTTTCCCAGACTTCACCATGTAGACCCAGGTGTACCTGCAGAGGTCCAGATGAGGTTCTAGAGCGTTGGGTGGGGTTAGTCAGGATCCTGAGGTTTAATCTCAGTGATCTCCCTCCAGGAGGACTTGAACACCCACAGGTGTCCTTCAGTCCAGACCTGTGATCTGATCTACCTGAGCTGGTTGGAGGGACAAAGACTGACCAAGACCAGGACCATGCACATGTAGACTTGAACCCAGGACTTACTGTAGATCTACCCTGTCTCTTTAAACCCTCTCAGGACATATTGTTCCTGTTTTTAGCATTTTACACAATTTTATAATTAAGCTATTTTTAGTTCATTTTTTAAAATAATTTATTTTATTTACTTTTCATTTTTATGCTTTTTATACGACTGTCTAATGTTGTCTGTTCCTCTTCTGTTCTTTGTTAAATCAGGTCTCTCTTGTAAAGGAGTCCTCGAGGCTCAAGGAGACTCACCTGTAGAAATAAAGGTTGAATGAAAAAAATATTGGACCAGCTGACAGAACTTCATGGACCTCAGGGGTCCATCAGACAGTAGAGATGTGTCCAAGCGTACATGTGAAGCTGCAGGTGGGACCACCTGCTGGACCTCCTCAGCCACAGGAACTCCCCCCTCGGACACGTCTCATGTCTTTGATCCCATCTGAACTAAAACTAAATAACTGGACACAGACAGGTCCAGATGAACTGGGTTTTTGTCTCAGACCAATTTGATGTGGTCCAGATCAACATCAGAATCAACGTGATGGTTTGGGTCAGACCTGGACCATGTTCCGGAACAGATATTTGACTGGTAACCCAATGAACCTGGGTCTTGACTGGGTTCAAACCAAAACTCTTATTGACCAGGGTCTTAACTTGGACCTGAATTGAACTTTGATGGACCTGGGTCTCGACTTGAACCTGTACTGAACTCTGATGGACCTCTGTCGTGACTTGGACCTGAACTGAACTCTGATGGTCCTGGGTCTTGACTTGGACTTGGGCTGAACTCTGATGGACCTGGATCTTGACTTGGACCTGTACTGAAAGCTGATGGACCTGTGTCTTGACTTGGACCTGGACTGAACTCTGGTGGACTTGGGTCTTGACTTGGACCTGTACTGAACTCTGATGGACCTGTGTCGTGACTTGGACCTGTACTGAACTCTGATGGACCTATGTCATGACTTGGACCTGTGTCGTGACTTGGACCTGTACTGAACTCTGATTGACCTGGATCTTGACTTGGACCTGTACTGAACGCTGATGGACCTGGATCTTGACTTAGACCTGGACTGAACTCTGGTGGACCTGTGCCATGACTTGGACCTGTACTGAACTCTGATGGACCTGGGTCTTGACTTGGACCTGTACTGAACTCTGATGGACCTGGGTCTTGACTTAGACCTGTACTGAACTCTGATGGACCTGGGTCTTGACTTGGACCTGTTCTTGTGTTTCAGGCTGACGGCTCTTCGGTCCAGTGTTCTGTTGAGGACGTCTTTCTTCTGTGCCAGCTGGGGAACCCATTCAGGAGCCACCAGAAGGTAAAGACCTAGTCCTGGTGCTCCTGTCAGAACCAGCAGCAGAACTCCTGCTGAGACTCTCTGGTCTTCTTTTGCAGGATCGGGTTCTGATCAAATTTCAGCCGTCTGAGAACATTCTGGACACCAAGGAGATCCGGTCTCAGCTGCAGCTGTCCACGTAGGCAGTCCACCCCCACATCTCTGTCTGAGTGTGTTGGTTGGACGTATTCTGACGTGTGTCTCCGTGTCCTCAGGCTCAGTGAGCAGTCCGACCTGTCTCCGTTGTCTGTCTCCCTGTTGGTGGAACATTCCCTGCCGGCGTCTCTCGTTCTGTAAGAAGACGTGAAATTATAAGAGGTTTTTTTATTTTTACACGTCTTTCTAAAATGTTCAGCCGGAGCGCTGACCTCCTGAGAAGCAGAAAGACCCAAACTGGTTTTATTTTATTTTTTAATGTCCCTTGAACGTTTTGCAGGTCTGAGTCCTCTCACAGCTGACCCAGGTCGAGGTTTCTGAACTAAAAATTCCAAAACTATTTATTTTCCTAACAAATCTGTTAGTGTGAGAGCGCCAGAAAATTTGGTAGTACGCAATACTGTGTATAACACAGCCTTGGTACACACAGAGTACTTGCATGTACACACTAGATATGTACTAGTACTGAAAATGTATATTTTAGAATAAAAAAATGAAAAGTTCAAAAATAAAAGTTAAGTGTAAAATATCTTAAAAAATATCAAGGGACAGACGGATCAGTGCAGCTTCTCCAGTATTGTGGATTCTGAGCTGGTCCATTGTGGTGAAGAGCTGTTAGGAGAAGCTCTCTGTTCACCAGTCTGTCTACGTTCCTACTCTCACCTGAGGTCATGAACTTTGGGTAGAAACTGAAAGAACCAGATCCTGGATCCAGGAGGTCTAAATGAGTTTCCTCTGTAGGGTAGCTAGACTCTTCCTTGGAGATGGGGTGAGAAGTTCAGTTATCATGAGAGACTCAGAGTAGAACTGCTGCTCCTCCACATGGAGAGGAGCCAGCTGTAGAGGTTCAGACATCTGGTAAGGATGGAACCTGGATGCCTCCCTAGTGGGGTGTCCTGGACATGTCCAACTGGAAAGAGATGCTGGAGAAGAATGAGGACACGCTGGAGAGGCTACGTCTCTCAGCTGCTGTGTGAATACCTTGGAGTCCTCTGAGGAGAGCTGGAAGAGTTGTCTGGATCTCCCTGTTCAAGACCGAGACCAAGTCCAAAACCAGATGATGGATGGATGAATGGTGGACAAATGGATGATGGATGGTTGATGGACGGTTGGATGAATGGTGGATGGACATATACTGAACCCAAATTAGAGGCACATAAGTATTTTTTCTTTAGTTGATTAATAATGTCTTCCATGCAAAACAGTGAGAAAAACAATCTTAATAATAATAATCAATAATATAAAAAATAAATCTTTCAGATGAGATTTTCTGAAAGTAGCTGTTAAACTACCTGAACGTGATCTAACTTGACAGAAACTCCTAAAATAAATAGAAAGTTGAACTTTATGACTCCTCATCTGTTTTGACCTTTAAAATAATTTCAAATCAAAAAGGTGTTTTTATAATTAATGATTAAGACTAAGTTCTGATTGGCTGTTCCTGACAGAATCGGAACACCGGACCCCATCTTCTTTGGCGGTCATGTGATCGGTGAGGAGGCCATGACGAAGACTGAGGACATCGGCAGCCTGGTGGTCTTCACCCTCCAGGTCAGTCTGAACCACCTGGACAGTTCCAGACCGGAAACAGGACAGGTGTAACCAGGTGGTCTCTCACAGGTGCACGCTGACAGGAAGTCCCTGCATCACCTCGAGAACCTGGAAGTGGAATTTGATTGGCCGAAGGAGGTTTCAAATGGGAAGTGGCTTCTGTATCTCGCAGAGATCCAGTTCGACGGCACCTCCAATCCTCGCTGCACTCATACCCAGATCAACTCCCTCAATCTCCAGGTAATCATGGTATCACCAACCATTTTACTTTCAGAATGAAGTACGAGTCTTTTCAAAATAAAATGCCAGTTCCTTTCTAATCTTTAGCAAAGTGATTATCAGTCCTGCAGATGATTGAAAACAGGAATAGCTGTTCAGATTGAGTGAAAGAAAATTTTATTTCCTGTTTATTTAGACGTCAAATGAGGAGAAGAGGAAGAGGAGGAGGAGCCTGATGGAAGGAGAGGAAGAAAAGAAGAAACTGGAAGGAAGACCACTTCCTGTCTTCAGCATGCGGGGAAAGAAGTCCTACAAACTGGTAAAGGAAACAGTCCCAGTGTCAGCAATGTGGTTCTTCCTGAAAACCTGCCCAGGTTCATGCGATGGAAAAGTCCTGTGAGAAAACAGGGACGGTGTAGAACTTCAATCTTGGTTCTGGTTCTGGGAGTCTAGATGAAATCTGATGATCTTCCCATGTGTTGCAGAGCTGCAGCAGCGGGGCCAAATGTGTGAAAGTCTCCTGTCCTCTGCTGAACACTAACAACTCTGTGACCCTGACAGTCAGGAGCCGACTGTGGAACTCCACCATGATCGAGGTACAACACCGCCCCGACAAGTCCCACTGACATCACTTCCTGTTTACCTGAAGTGCACAGCAAACCCCATCACCACCCTTACAAGTCCCACTGAC